CAATCTGACGGTTCTACGAGGCGTGATTGTTTTTAGTGTAAATTTATTCTTTTTCATTGAAACGGTTTGATTTTATTTATTCGTATGGCTTATTTTATGGACAACTAAAAATTGGCTGAATTTTTTGTTTAAATAAATAGCCCGCTCTGAAAATTTTACCGTAGTACCGTAGATATTAACACCGAAAATAATTTCAAATCTGTCATATTGCTTGATGGTAGTTTGTGGTGCAACGTATATTTTATTCATAATAATAACTATTGAAGTTAAAATTATAACTTGTCTATATGTTTAGTTAAATAATTTATAACTTCCAACAATGAAAATCATATATAATACGTTTACAATATAATATTATTTTTTCATTTCTTCTATTACATACAAAAATATACCATGCATTTTTTATTATTATTTGCTATATGTTTGCTCCTGGAATATATTAATAAAACATATCTATTGTTTGATGTTAATTTATTACCTTGAATTAAAATCAATATATTGCTTACTCAATGATGATAGTTAAATATAAAAATATTTTTACTCTCTAGAACAGTGGTTTTCAACCTTTTTATGCTCATGGCGTATTTCTTATGACTATACAGTTTGTCGGAACATTGTAGTAATAAATTAATAAGAAGCAAACAAAAAAAAAGGCATTTTTATTTCAATTATTATTTTTATTATTAATATATTATATAATTAAAAATAAGTAATACCTAATTAGTAATAACACTATACGCATATACTACGGTCGCGGTACACCGGTTAAGAAGCACTGCTCTAAAATAATAATTACTTAACTACTTAAAACTATTTGGGGCAATAGCGCAAGAGAAATAAGAGTATATTTATTAACGAGTTGAATCATACATTTAAACTAGAAAAATATTAAGTATGTAACACGTGGAAATTTTTTTAATACCGCTTTGTTGAAATTATTTTATGAACAATAATGTACGATTGGTATATAGTAATATAGAAATATGACTCTGTGTACTAACCTATTTTTCGATTACAAAAATGATTTTAAGAGGAGTCCACGTCAATTTCTATTTCTAAGGTTTTTTTTTTACTCATCGCTTTGTTGCAATGTATAATGGGGAAAAGTGGACGTCTAAAAATAAAAATTAATAAATAAAAAGTTTAAATTAATTTAAATCTTTTGGATATTATATTACGTATACAAAATAATAATATACGTAACGTTAAAAAGTGTCAATTCCTACGATTGATATTTTTTTGAATAATTATAGTAGAACAGAAACAATCATAAGTAAAAATCTCGTTATTTTTAGTTAAAAAGTCTAATTTTTAACTTAAAATTAATTTCGTATTTACACACATTAATTTTGTTGTGATAGATCTATGTCATTAGATATTTTAACAGTCTTAGATCATATATTTAAGTTTTATGTTACATTTGAAAAATGAGAAATACATTTACATTTTTGGTGTGCAAAGTCCGTGGCATGTACTATTATTGTTTAGATTTTGAGCATAGTAAAGTTACTAATTCATTAAATTATCGTCATTAGTTTTATATTTTATACTCTTATCGAAGCATGTTCACCATAGTATTATTAATATTATTATACGTCTATATTCACAATATTCATCTTAAAGTATGAAAGAGAATAATAAAGAGCTATTTTCTTGTTTTAAATAAAACACTTAACTAAAAAATAAAATGTATTACTCCTAAAAGTGTTTTAGTTATTATTTTGTTTAGTACCTATTATCATTTATTTACTTGTAGGAAAGGGGTTAAGCTTTAGGGTGATCTTCCATTTATATAGTATAAAATATAATAATGCGTGTAATGTGTATTACCAAATGTGTTAAAATATTTATTTTTCAACTATTGAAAACAATTTATGATATATCGGTCTAAAAGACCAACGACACCTCTCATTAAATATTTTAACATGACACCTCTTCCGGGTTGAAAAAAGAAGACAATACAATGAATTTACTATGTAATATTTTACCTTGCCGTGAAAACGTACATTTTAGTAATGTTTTCCGTTAAGAGGTGTTTTATTGTGTGCATTGTTTTTCGTTCTCAACTTTTGAACAAGTTACTGAAGGTGTTCATGCAGAAATCGAGTCGCATTGTTCAGTGATACAGTTAGTAGGATACTATTCAAATTACGTTATTTTGGGAAACAAGATTTCTTAAATATCATCCACCTACTTATTATATTCGTGTCATAAAAAAAATTTTGATTTATATTTTATTATGATTCTGAAATGAAGTTTGTTACCTAATATACATTATTAGTTTGTCAGACATGTTATATTGTATTTCAATATTATTTTTTGTATGACATATTTTATGTGTCGTCACACATGTAGCTAATAGTTAGAATACTTAAAGCTGGAGCGCTCAGAAGTTATACGAACTAAAATATACAAAATATGCACAGAAAATATTAAATTTAGCATGCACTTTTTTTTGTTTTAATTTAAGAAATAGATAAATAAAAAGTAGGTTTTATTATTATTTTTCAGCAGTTTGGTAATATTAATACGATATATTACTATGCTAAGAATTATTTTATTAAATAAATAAAAAAAAAAATCTTAATGTTTGGAGAATTGGTTGTTGGTAGTTAATATCAATTATTGAACTGAAAACATATTTTTGGTATTTAAGTAGTATCAATAAAACATATTTTTAACATTCATGAAGTTGTATACTAAAATATAATATAGGTTGTTTTATAATAACTTCACTTTTTTTTTTTTTGAAAAAAATGAATAGGTATGTTTTTTTAGAAAAAAAAAAAATTGTAAAATATACTTTAAAGTTTTGATTTCTAAGGTTGTCATTCTATATATTATAATGGATTTATAGTTTGGTGCAGTATAAACTGTGAGCATATAGAATAATATGAAAATCTTAATTCTTGTAAAATCTAAATGAGTAGCTTTTTGTGTTTTTACTAAAATTTTATTGTAACAAATATATTTTTAGTTTTAGTTTCAAAAATGTTAGATGTTAATTGATTAGTACAACACCAATCATCACATTTTATAACTTGTGAATATGAACTTCCTACACAATAATTTTGCTTTTAATTTGAAAGAGAATTAGGTTTACAATTTTTTAAAAGGTTTAAACGACATGCAAAATCATACTTTTTAAAATATGTATTCTGCATCTTGGTCATATGTAAAAAGAAACTATTTATAATAAACTAACGGCGAGTTAATTAACGAAAAGTATAATAAATCCGGTATATTCATTATAAGATGTATCTATACGTTTCAAAATATCTAGTACGGCTACGAACATTTTAGGAGTGGTATGTTTTTCCGTAGTATGCCCTCGATTTATATTCGAGCTAATTGAAATAAATCTAGAAAGATTCAAAGGGACTGAATAGGAACTAAAAAGGATGATTCTAACTAAGATTATATAATAAATTTAATCAAAAATAAATTCAACTTTCATTAAATATTTTACAAGGAATATAATACAAAATATGAAATTTTTTTAAATACGTAAAAGTTTTAAATATTTGTAAATTACGAATTATAGAATCAACTAACCATATTTTGTTTTGTATAATTCATTTCTACCCCTAATATTTTAATTTAAAATTTTTAAATGATATAATATCACGTATAGAACATTAACAAATTTTCTGTATTGTTAATTAGCCGTTACAGCTAATATTATCTCATATTACAACAACCAATATTTTTAAGATATTTTCAGTTTGATATTTGTGGGCCAGATAATATTATATATGGTGGCATATATTTTATTTCGATATTGTGTATCAGTAAATGTGAGTCTTTCAATTTGTAGAAAATAACCGATTATTTATTATAATAAACAAAAAACCAAATTGACAGTTTGACTTGCATTATCACAGTAATATGATACGAATACAATCAAACCTTTAAAACAATAAATAACGGTACATTTTTCTATTGCTTTCATTATAAAGTGTCTAAGATAGACAAAAGATTTTCAAAAATTGTAAATAAATTCATTAAACTATTCACTTATCTTCAATGCTTTATCAAAAAATTATGTCTGATAACAATAAGAACAGTCGATCGATGTTAATCTTTGCACCCATCCTCTTCACGACAAAAGTACAAAAAGTTGTTAGTTTAAAGGCATACAAATTCTATTTGAAAAAATGTCTTCTGGATTTTATTTTTTTATTCACTATCGATTGGTTTTTAAATTGTATTGTCATGTATTTAACATATATTTCTTTCTATTTAATATTTTATAATTTGATATTGCAAATCATGGTATAATAAAAAAAAAATGTTCATACTTAAAGATTATTAAAAATAATTATCGTCGAACTAAATAAAAACAGTTAAATTAAGACTAATAAATAATATTATAAAACGTAGTTTAACGAAAATGGGTATATACATTATATTATTGTAATACACATTAAAAAAAAAAAAAACAATGTTTTTAAGTACGATTTAAAAAAAAATAGTTATAGTAGGTATAAATATATTTATAAACACAATAACTATATTAAATTCTTCAATATCGAATAAAATATCTAAAGAGTTACTGTATAAACTATAATTTGAATTTTAAAGCATTTTTTAAATGTTATCAGGTCGGTCGATCTTATATTTTTTTTAGCACAATTGACAAATTTTATTTTATTATATAAATATTCGTTTGAAAATGTTCATATTTTTTCTTGTTGCTAAGCAAATGTTTACATTTTTATTTTTTCATTTAATTTGTCTATCAAGTCGGTAAACAACCTAATATCACCGTTTGTTTTTAAATCTTAATAATTATAACTGATGTTGTGATGATTGATTGTGTTTTTTGTTCGTTTTACATTGAGTTACTATTTATTTATATTTATAAACTAAAAAAATCTAAATAGAAAAGAATTTGCTGTGATGAAAATTAACTATATCTTTTTATTATAAATTATGACCCGTATGTCAAGTATATTTTATTTTCTACAAATTATTAATATCATTATTCAATATTTTAGATGAAACGTCATTATCTGAAATTGTGAAGATAATACAAAGTTTGTACGTAGAAGCAAAAAAAGGCAAGAAAATGAATGAAAAAAAAATTCAAGAATATATTGAATTGAAAGCCAGTCTCAATAGGCTAAATACACAAATAGAAAAACAAAGTTAGATCACACTAAAAATATTTTTTCTACTAAAACTAAAATTTAATATTTTTTTTTTTTTAGATTTATTTAATAAAAAGTTAAAGAATGAAATTAATAAAATTGATAAAACCAAAAAAGAATACGAAGATGAATTAAAAGATACTCTAAACAAAAACAGAATAATAACATCAAAGATTAATTATCAATTTGAAGAAATACAAAGATTATTAGGTGAGTTAAAGTTTGAAAAAAATTGTTTAAAAGTTATGCAATAACTATTTATGTAATAAATATGATATATTATTTTTAATTAACTTAAAACTAGATCCATTTGGATTTTTGATGAATCATAGAAGCGATAAAGTGATTTGTTTATTTGTATTAATTGAATTATTAATGCTATAACTATATTTTCGATAATTTGTCTTTTATTTTTTTTCAAAATATTTCATATAATTATAATTTAGCATTTTAATTTGATTGGAACAATTGGTATATATGAAAAGCAAAAAGTAAATTTACAAAAATGCTTAGCCTATTACATAAATATAATTCTTCAATATGTTTTTCAAAATAATTTACGACGATTAACTGTGGAGAATAAAGCTTTTAACCAAATTTTAAATATGATAATAAGCTTTTGTCTAATAATTTAGATTGTAGAAAATTAGACAGGATAAAACTTAATGTAGCTAGTTTAGATGAAGTAAAAATAATATGTGTATTGTGTATATGTGTTTAAAGTTCAAATTGTTAAGGAATTACTAAAAAAATTAGGAAAATATCATTTAGTTAAAAATTATAACGTTTTTAATTTTAATATCAAAGGCAATCGAATATTATATCAACGTTCAATTTTTATAGCTGAAACATAAGTAATTCATATTGAAACATAAAATACATATATTTTTTTTTTAAATATTTGAAGATTAAATTTTGAAAAATTTCATATTTAAACGAAGAATATCAATATTACTTACTTGTTTTATTATAATTCAAAAATATTATTCGCAGAGACTTAAAACTTTGTGAATATTATACAAAGTCAATTATTTTACCATACACATTGAATTTTTCAAAATACATTGATTAGTTTTAAGTTCTTAAACATGGATCTATTCACATTGTTTTAGAGTAAGGTACTAAGGTGATATTGACTCAAAAGTTAATAATCAAAATATAATATATGTAGTAGTAGATATATAACTATTTATAATTAAATAATTAAATATTAATAATATAATAAAAATCGAACGTTTTTAGAAAAAATTAAATCATTCTACCGTAAAATTAATAGCAAAATAAATTACTTTAATATAGCTATGCTCGTATAAAATATATACCTATATTAATATATATATCGTAAAGAATCGTTTCTCATATAGGTATAAAATTGAATTCAAATTTAACAGATTTTCCATCATAGCAATCTACTTGAAATTTACTGTAAAAAAAAAAAAAAATGGTATTTACTTGCTCACCTTTTATTTATTTAAGTATGAAATAATTAATATGACGATATGTTTTATGATATTATATTAACTTAAGCACTTTGAAAACTATAAGCATAATACTCTACATATTATTTATATTATATAGCTTTATTTTTTATCGATAGCTGAAAAAGACGACAAAAGTGAATTCATTGATCAGCAAATAAAAAACACTAATGGAAATTTCACTAACAAAACAACTACTTTATTGTCAAAGGTATTAAATTATACATCGTATAATATGGATAATTTTTTAGTAATATCATTAAGTGTCACTAACAAGCTATGTAAATAAATTTAATATTTATTGAAATTGCTATTTGAATAAAATAATAATAGATTAAACTAATTGTAGAGAATGGAAAGTGAAAATGAAGACAAATACTACAAATCACTATGCAAAACCCTGATGATAGAAGATATTTTATCCAATAACATTAATATTGCAAAATCTATTAAGTTGACGGAGGATAATGTTATTTTAAGTGAAAAATATCATCGTTCCAAGAAAGTATATACATAAAAAAAATTATAAGTTCTATACAATACCAGTTAATCGTTCACAATTTAACAAATGGACATGCGAAATCTGAACAAAATTTGTATTTTTTGTTGTGTAGGATCTAAAATCGGCACTGGACAGCGCCGAACTTTGTAAATATAATTACGGGTCATATATCGATGAAACGTACGACAGGATTGATAAAACTGAAATACTTAAGGTTGGTTTATTATTGTTAGGCGAGTTAAGTAAGTGTGCAGAAATTTTAAATTATGTAGTAAAAATTATCTTAGACCTCAATCGTTCACACTTTAAATATTTCTTATAATTTCACTTATATCATACACCGCTAAAACTATTCGTAAGGACAAAGACAAGTACCTATTATTTAAATACAGTAGAAATTGTTTATGTTTAAGAGACTGAGAAAAATACGATTTAAATAAATAACCATAAACTTATAATTCATAAAAAAACGAAATTTAAAACCAAAAAGTATATTTTATTAGATTCAAATAAAAATTTTTTAACTCTTATTGTGTATATTATTAAAAACTAAAATGTATTTTCATTATTAACTATTATTATTATTTATTACATACATATTAAAAACGATCAGTTAATTTTGTTTGTAAAAATATGTATGTATGTATTTTTTTTTTTTATAAATATTTTGTTAAATTTTCGTTTCCTCGTTTTCAAATTTGTTCTAGAAATAATATTATAAATAGCTATATGATTTGACACTGATTTTTTAATATTTTAATATAGTACAAATCATTATAATTTAAAATTCTGTCAGAATTATTACTCGATAATTATTATTAACACTCGAATAAGTTATAAATTCAGTTTACTTTGAATTTATTAATAATAATTCCTTAATTCAATTCTTTAAGATTATTGGTTCATTGATTACCATAGAATAAAATACATTATTTATTATACTAATAAATTATTAGATTAAATATATAGTTATGGTAGTAAATTTATATTTATTTATATATATATTTTTTTATTGATAATTCACCATCAGTGTATAGAAACATTTTTTAAGTCAGTTTTAATCATTGATATATTATTATCTTTTTATTTATTACTAATTCGCTTTTATTAAATTTTAGATGATAATTCAAACTTTCAATCACTTAATTACTAATGGATATATGTGCTATTGGAAATCAATGATTAAAGTACTAAAAAAAAATGCAGTTCTCTGGACGACACCGACTCATAAACCATCTGGAACATACTTTAAGTTTAATTTTCCATTTGAGGATTGTTCCATATCCAGTAGCCTCGTATGCGTAGACGAAAATAAAAATTATATTATGAATAATAAACAGACAGATGACGGGTTTAAGTCCTTACAATATTAAAATAACTGTTGTTTTAGACATTTACAATGTTACAATATCAATCGGGTGTACACTTATTACTACGCCGTGTAGCTGATTAGGTTTAATGTCTATCAATTGTTGTAAAATAATTAATAATGTTTGATTTTTAATTGTTTTTATTTTTGTGCTTATTTATTACTAAAATTTATAATGCAGAGTTAATTTCATAACAACCATTAAACTTAAAAAGTTTTTCAAATTATATCGAGTATTATTGATTTTGAATTTATGTATTTTTGTTTTGTATGTCTGCGTTATATGATTTACTAAATTGTATTAAGCGTTGTAAGTGAATGACACAATATTTGATTTAATTTTCCATCTATAGTTATTGTCACATTTAGTATTTTATTTATATTTCATATTTATTAATCATAATATTAAATTAATATTTACTGTGAAATATTATTGTTATTATTGATTTTGACATAATATTTTAAATGTCAACTAGTGATTTATTAATTTATTTTTTTCTAACTTTGTGAACATTTTAAAATCTGAAAAATCTGATTTTTTTATAGCGAATTGTGTAGACTTACGCGTATGGTATTTGGATAATATATACCTCGATTTTGACTAAACAAGTATCTAAAATATTTCTTTATATTATATTATATTATATTAAAATTGTATTTGGGGAGTTATTGGTACATATCATTTGAGGAGATCTAAGATAGTTAATCAAAAATATTATATCAAAAGTTTATCATAGTTCATTATAAACAGTTTGACAAAAATTAATTCGTCAATAACACTTACTGTAAAGTGATTTTATCAATAATAAAACCATCATAAGTTGATAATTTATTTTGAATAAAGTTTTTTTTTTTAATAATGGTATTTGTTTTCATATTATTTTTGTATTCGTCATAAATTGATAATTCTATTTATTTATTTGATGAATGAATTAGTAAGAACATTGTTTTTGGAGTTTTCCCTATAATAGAGTATTGTAATGAAGTTGATTAGGTGATTTAATACTTAGGTTTATTTATTTGGGAATATTATACCATTATAATTGGCAGACTTTGTCAATTAAAACTGATGACTTTTTAAACGAGATTTTTGTTGATAATATTGTGATTGGAGTGACGCCTTGAAATGTATGACTCATTTTAATAAGCCATTTGAAACTAGTGATATGATATAGGTAATCACGTGATTGGGACAACGTTTAGTCTAATAAGATGAGATTATATAGGCACGCTAACAGTTATTGTTAATATTATTACGATCAATTAATGGATTAATGAATAAGTAGACATTCATTATTTTTTCTAATTGATTTTATAGGAGAGCTTTACCCAAGTATGAAAAAATTGGCGTATATATTATACACATAATTTACTATGAAATTAGAAAACAAAAATTGTTTTGGAGTAGATATTTTAATCAGGAGTACAAAATCCTTCAATGAATGATAAAATCTCGAAAAACTAACTCTGAATATAGTTTTTAATGAAAACTGTTTGATATGAAAAAATTAAAGAGACTCTTACATTTTGGTCCTTAATCGATCGGAATCAAAACGTGTTCTGGCTTATTTATTTTTTTTAAATTAGTTGTATTTAAACGGAGAACCATATCGTTAACAATATATATATATTTATATATTTTTAACCTAACCAGTAAACTTGAGTGACTTAATCTATACCCTTTGGTTGAAACCACAGAACAGGTCTAAGACATACGTGTTATTTCTCTTATCTGACCTGTCCGAATTACATACATCAATTTTTCCGACCTCTGACTACAATCCCATCAAAAAATATTTTAGTAGTTCGTTCAATCTTTCAAAAAAACAGCGAGTTTCACATTATTATTATTAGTTCATCATCAGGACTATACTGTTTTGAGTAGAGTTCATTTCTATAGAATACCATTTATTGGTTGTTCTTAAAATTTAAATAATTTTTCAACGCAAGTTAGGTTCACTAAGGTCCTTAGAAAATTTCTTTTAAATTAAAAAAAAATGCAGTCTTAATATTCTTTATAAGCATTTAAAGTTAAATGTTTGGCAAAATTTATTAAAATCACGAAAATAACTAATTATTTTGTAGTTAGAAATTCATAAAAAAAATTTTATTTATGTATAGGATTTGAAAATTTAATTCATGGTTCTTTATCACATTTGAAATATTTATTGAAAAGTCAAATCAATTTTTATAAGTGTTTGAAGTTCAAATGTTTATGAAATTGGATATACACTCGTGCAACAAAAGAATCTCTTTAAATGAATTTCGTATTTTGTAAATAAATAAATACCTAAATTCTTGAAATTTTCATTAAATGTTTTTATTATCTTATTCTTAGAAAATGTAATATTAGATTATTCATAAGTTTTTCAATATATTGTATAAAAAAAATAATGATTTTTTTTATGTGCATTTGATGTTTAAATTTTTATAAAATCGTCAGTCACTAAAATTTACTAATTATAAGTATTTTGTGGTAAAAATTTATAAAATATTCAATTTTTAAAGCTTGAGTTTGAGAACTTAATAACATTTTTCTTTGAAATAGTTCATTCTGGAACTAAAAAAACTTAAAATATATAGAATCATAAAAATTTTTTATAGATATTCTAAGTTTAAGTTTGGACAAAATTACATATTGGCAAATAACGATGTTTATTATTTTGTTATTATTTAAAAACATTATTTATTGGAACTTACTTTATTACATTTTTTATGAATTTAAACAAATGATATTTTCAAAACATATGGAAATTCGTTTTAAAATATCAACTATTTATACCATAAACTTATTCACACTGTTTTAATATTAATAGTAAATAATAAATGATTGTAGCTATATCAAAAAAAAATATACTATGAAATATACCTAATGAAATAGGGTGGTAGACTGTCTTCATTCAGAACCATTTTTCGTGTGCAATGATATATTTTACCATTGAATTCAAATTTACATATCTATTATAGTGAAGTTTGCTCATAAACGCTGGTAAACAATTAAACTTTACATCCATATTGTTAATAATATTATCGCTCAAGATTTCTTATCTTTGAAAATGTTATTATTATTATTATTTTATTTTTTTTTTTTTGGTTTTAAGTATTGCAAATTCGTTGATAATGTATTAATATGACTTGAAAAAGCTATGTTATGTTTCAGGTGATACTATAATAGTAAAATATAAGTGAATTTGGTGAATGTGTGAAAAATGTACATAGCTGGCGTCAACCCCGTGAAAGGAAATAAATCATCTATCAATTAGGTGAAAAAAAAGTAATAAATAACTAAATAAATAATTATTGAAATTTTAATGAGATAAAAAATAAATTAAATTGTTTTAAGAAGTACAATTGGAACATTATTCAAAAACTAAAATTAATTTGTTACATTATTTGAAAAACCGAAATATTATAAACTAAAATTACAATTTATTTGTTTTCAATAATTGTTTTCCGTTAAAATGCATCTTGTTATGTAAACAAAAGAGTTACATTAAAGTACAAGAAAATATACGAGTGCTATTTTAAATTTTGCTAGCCGTCCAAAGTCTAGACTCTAGACGGTGCACTGTTACATCATTGTAAATGTTTTCGAACAGACTATTATTATTATTTTTCTTTTTATATAAACGTTTTCAATCTATAGGCGCCTTTTCATTCGATTTCTGGCGAGTTAATAATTATTTATTTCGTCGAACACTGCTTCGCTTTTAATAAACTATGCGCTCAGATAAAATGAAAACGTTAATAAATCGAAAACGACGTTTGATGAAAAGAAAAATCTACCCTAAAATCGCCTATTGGTAAATAGATTACAATAATGTTATGATGTTCGCATTTTTCAAAACTAATTTAATCGATTCAATTATTTTCTAAAAGAACTCATAGAACCATTTGGCTGATAGTCTGTAAATCGTCAAGTTTGTATAAAAATCACGAAACCATATGAGTACCAAAACGTAGAACCGTTTAATATTCACATTACCTTTACGAGAAGTCCTAGCTTCAGTGTTTGAAAGTATACACATTTTCCTTAACGTCCCGAAACGGGTTCTATATACCACAATTTATATATGTTTGTACATCTATTCTATATTTTAAGGTTTTTAAAAAAAATTAAAAAGGAAAACAGGACTCGTACATATTACGTTTGTTTAAAAATTAACATTTAAATTACGCAATTGAAATAATATACGTACACTGGATCGTAAACAGTTAACGTAAATTTAAGACCGGTAATGTAATTGTTATTTGTTTCTGTATGCTTTAAAAACATTATTTATATCATGTAATATTATTATCTTGAATATGCATACAATTTAAACAATAGACATTTTGTACGGATATTATCGGCTTTTAATTTATCGCGTTAAAAAAAGAAATGCAAAAAAACTGGATAATATCTCTATAGTTTGTTACTTATAAAATATACTATGATGTACAAGGTACAAATTAATGATAGTTTTTAATTAATTACCCGACATATTTTAGGATGGTTTTTTTTTGTTGGTGACTGGCTCAAGCTTAATAAATTGGTTACAGAATATAAAATTAATCTTTTCAGGTCAAAGGTTAGAAGATTTCAGCATAATTAAACTAATATTCATAATTTCTAGTAGCTTGTATAATATATTGATACGATCGTTAAAGCATTATGCAGATGAAGTAAAGAAAAACAAATATTATATTTTATGGACAATAGTATTCTATGAATTTTTTAACAAGCAGTACGTACGTAACTAAGTTGAGGAATCAGCTATTATAATATTATGCATTGAGAATTGTTTGGTTTCCATAAAATTATACATTTAAATTAAGTTTTAAAAATAAAAATACAAATTTAGTTAATTTGTGTATTTATTTTTATTCATAGGTAAGAAAATTATTTAATTGTTAAATGTATTCAAAACGAAATTTTATAATTTGTACTTTTTAGGTTAAAAGTTTTGGTTAAAAAAGTATTACATTTTTAGTAAAAAATTGTTTACAAAATACAAAACATTTTAAAATATCATTGTTTTTATACTATAATATTTGTTTTAAAAGTTACAGAAAAGATAAAATTCATTAGAATACAGTGGTTA